CTCTGAATTCTGGCTGCACAATGATTTCCAATCACTCATGGGTTAAGATTTAATAAGTAAATCCTTTATCTAACTGAGAGATTCCAGATTCTGGTTCTTGCCCCATCACTTTTAGGGAAGACACAGCAAGCAACTTGTAAAAGCACTCGCCAGAGAACATCTTAAGCCATTAAAATTCTACTCAGAGTCTTCAGCTGGCTTCACCTTAATCACGTTAGTAGCACTTATCTGTATCCTTCCCATCCCACCCTATTCCTGTTTAGTCCAGCTGAGATCCAGGACTTTGGCTGACAGATTTTCTGTCCAGGGTCCCGATTCAGATCCCACTGACGGTTAGAAATTGGTCCTGATTCCTGACTAGGTTCAATTCCCGGCCGGGACCTTGCTTGCAGGGAGTATCGGTCGAATAATGTGGTGGTGGCAGGAGCCAGAAAGGAACCCGTGTCGGTTCCGCCTCTCGGCTGAGATCCTGACTCCGGGCAGGACCCAGGGGTAGGGTCAGCCCCAGGTCGGGTCCGGAGCAGGTCCAGGTCTCACCTTGACGCAGTCGATGGGGTACATCACGCAATGCTCCAGGATCCCTGCCACGGCGCCCGCCACCATGTGCGTGGTGACAGTGGCTCCAGCCGGCAGCGCCTCGTAGTCTGGGCCGGAGTCCGGATCCTGCCGTACCGGGGGCCTGCAGGCCCCGGCCTCCCCGCCGCTGGCCCCCCGGCCCACGCCCCGCTGCAGCCACCCGTCCAGCAGCGCCGACTCCCCGGGGCTCCGCCCCGGCCCAGCCGCCGGCCCCCCCGCCACACCGCCAGCACCCCGCCCCTCCAACTCCATCCACCCAGGCCAGCTGCGGCGCCCACCCCCGCCACCGCCGCTGCCACCGCCGCCGCCGCCCCCCAGCCCCGTCTCGTCTGCCTCAGGCGCGGCCCAGAGAGCCCGGGGCCTCCGGCTCCCGCTTGGCCCCGAGGACACGCCCCTCAATCAGCCATTGGTGCAGCAGCCAGGATAGCCCCGCCCCCTGGCCTACGTAGGAAAAATGTGTCTGTGGTATTAGTGAAGTTGCTTGTCATTCCTCCGCCCGGCGGCATTACTACCACTTAGATCCCACCCCTTTCCCTTTGATCTTGGAAGCTTCTTGTTTATTGGCCATTTGATTGGCCGACATGTAAGATCAACCCGCCCTCCGACTTTTCTGAAGGGCGGGAGTAACTTAAGGCTAAACTTTGATAGGCTCAACCACTCTTGATACTTTGACCGCGGCCATTGGCCAGCACCACGTCGGGATCCGATTGGCTACAGAAAGAGGGCAAAGCCCCCTAGGGCTACCGTCGTGGAATTTGGGCCCCTGACAGGCGCCGGTGGAACTATGGGCGCTGCAGGCGGGATCGCATAGGGGGTTGGGGGCGGTGCCAGGCCTTCAAGGTCAAACTGCTGACGGATGCCGTTAGGACCCGCTCTTGAGCGCCCGCCCCGAATCCGGAGACTCGTAGGTCGCGAGCAGGCGGCTTGGCCCTGGCCCAAGGGCTCTGTTCCCGCGGGATCTTGTGCTGGCCTGAGGCGAAGGGGGCCTGGACCGGGCATCCCCTGGCGTGGCCTGCCCGGAAAGCCGTTGCGACATGCGGGCTGCGGCCCGTTAGATCGGATCAGGGAGGGAGTGTTGCCCCCGCCCCAGGCTGCGCGCAGGCGGACTCCTGAGGGCCTGGTGCTCATCAGGCCCCAGCGCCTGCCGCTGGGCTGGCGCCGGAGCCGCCCAGTAAACCCGCACAGTTGTAGAGTGAATGAGTTCTCCGGGGGCCTGCTGTTGCTGGGCCCTGCGCCAGGCCGAGAGCTGGTGGCGGGGACGGAGATATCGAAATGGGACAGTGTGATTCAGAGATGACTGCAGGTGGGGAGGCCAGGCTGGAGGCTGCTGCCCAAACACAGCAGGAAGTAGGGCAACTATGGGAAGCTCATCGGACGCACAGCTTGTCCCAGAGATGACTCACTGAGGAACCCCCTTGCCTGGTGACGATTCCCTTTTGTGATAAGACCGCTCAGAGAGCTGAGCCTGAGACGCTCACTGGTTCAAGAACAATGCCAGCAATTCCCAGGCCTGAGCACCACCTCCCGGGCCGTGACGTCGCACAGGTGCTACGCTAGCGCTGTAGGCTCGGTTGAGGAACACGGGCCATTTCACCACTCCTTCTGCCCGGCTTATTCAGTCTCTCTTTACTAGAGCATGTTGGCACACGTCTCCCCAGTGTTCCAGATCTGCCTTTACTCCCTGTTTTACTGAGATGATGATGTAATTGTGAACTTTAAAAAAAAACTGTGTAACTTTTCCTTAGTTAAGGAAGAAGTTTTTCTTTTTCTCTCTAAAGCTTAGCCTTTTTCTGGGCCTCTGGGTTTTTTCTTTTTTCTTTCTTTTTTGGGGGGGTGGTTTAATTAGGTTATTTATTTACTTAATTTTAAATGAAGGTACTGGGTATTGAACCCAGGACCTTGTGCATACTAAGCACACATTCTACCACTGAGCTATACCCTCCCCATGGGCCTTTGGTTTTTTGGGGTTTAGTTTTCTAACTTTTTTTTTAACTGGCCTATTCCTATTCAGCAGTGGTTATTTAACCTTTGGGTCTCAACCTTTGGGAAACTAATGAAGCTACAAATCTTCCCCCTGCCTCCCGGCCCCATGAAGGCACAAAATGGTGTATGTAATTTCTGAATTTGCAGAATCTCTGAATGTGAGTTCAGGACCCCTTAGGGATCCATTAACTTCAGGTTAAGAACCGCAGGTCTCACCAAAAGAAACCCACTCAATCCTGCTAGGGTGCTAGTTCCTTTTATGACCAAACTACTTCACTAATGAGCTCTACCTGGCACATCCTTTCTCTCCTTAAGCTCTACATTTTTACTCCTTTATTCAGAGATTACAAATGACCTTTCCAAATCCTATAGTCTTTTTCTTATTCCCATTTTTCTTGACTAAGAGATAACACTTGCCACCTATTGACCCATTCCTCACTGAAACTTTTTCCTAGCTTCAGGAACCACTCTTTTCTACTGTTTAGACTTCTGAGTCTTCTGCACTTACCTACCCACTGAAAGGGAGCATTCCTAAAGGTTTAATGCTGCTTGATCATCCTTAATACTTTAGAGAACTTTAACATACCAAATCTGTTTTCCTCGTTGGAGCCCTATCCATATTTCCCTTATTGCATATTTTTAAACTGAAATTTACACATGAACATTCAGATGCCTGGCACTGTACTTGAAGCTGGTGATACAGAATAGACAGAATCCATGCTTTCATGGAGTTTACTTTTTAATGGAGCGAGAGGGATAGACCAGTAAAAATATTGGTTATCTGTAGATACTATGCTGATAACTAAAGTAGGGAGGTGTTATAATGTGTGATTAGGTGACTGCATTTGTATGATCAGGAAAAGCTTGAGGAGATGACACTATGGCAAGCTCTGAATGACAGGCAGGAGCTCATTATGGCCCAGAGCAGAGCATTCCAGGAGAAACTGTAGGTACAACAACCCTAAGGTGAGAACATGGTTGGTGTATAAAGGAACAGAAAAGTTAGTGATGCTGGAGCATGGTGAGTGGGGTGGGGTTGGGGCAGTGATGAGAGATGGGGTTGGAAAGATGAGCGAAGGGTGAATATCCTCCTTAATTTCTGATTTAGCATGTCCATTCTGGGCTCAGCCTTTCCACTCCCCACCCCAACCAATTTCTCCACAATTTTTCTTTTCTACCCAATCAATCAGACTCTAAAGCTGGGAATCGTCCTTGACTATCCCCTCAGAATTATTCTGAAATAGTTTTTGGTTGTTGTTGTTCATGCTCTCCTTTTCCTTCCTATTGATGTTATACTTTGCTAGTGTCTGATCATCTTATGTCTACAATGTGATAACCTTTGAAAGGCCTCCCTACCCTTGGAGTCTCCTGGCTTCCTCAGTATTTTGATTCCCTGCCTTCTAGGGATATGGTAGAATTGTTCTTCCCATCTCCTTGAAGATAGGCATGGCCATGGGATTTGCTTTGGCCAAGGAAGTGTGAGAAAAGCCTGAGAGCCACACAATAACTTCCCCTGCCACATCACTGGTGATGCTCAGATGGTGGAGGCACCATCAGGCTGGGGCCAAGTGAGAATGATGAAGCAGAGTCACCTACCTGCCGCCCTCTTCCTCCCAGATGGACTTTCAGCATGAGTAAAAAGTTGTCATTTTAAAATACAGATTTTAGGATTTTTCCCTACCATGACATAATCTAGCCCAGTGCTTCTCAGACTTTAATGTGATATTAAGTCACCTAAAGAATCTGTAAAAATGCAGATTAGAATTCAATAGGTCTGGGTGGGGGCTGAGATGCTGCAGTTCTGACAAGCTTCCAGGTGATGCTGATGGTGTGATAACCCTGGACCACACTTCAAATAACAAGGACCTTACCCATCCTCTCCGATACAGCCTCTCAACACATCTACACACACTCCATCCTACATCTCATCAGCACCTTCCTAAAAGACAAACAAATCAGCAAGCAAAGAAACACCTTTCTTGGTGATATTCTTTATAAAACCTCACTAGCTTCTCACACCTGAAATGCACTGTAGAATCTTAATTTATGTTCTTAGGACAGTTGTTTCCCCATTCTCCTATCTCCTGTCATTTTCTTTTCT